AAAAAACTAATAGCTGGTGCTTACATTATCTTCACGAATAATTTCGTTTTCTTGCAGCATCGTGAGACACCATAACCCACCAATTTGGTCAGCCATTATCAAGCCCTGATTACTTGCAGATTCATCGAAGTTGAAGAACCTGAATTAAATCTTGTTTTGTTTTCTGTAAGATTTTCCCGCTTTGCCGGTATGTAGTCTGTGATAGCAACTGGATAGTCGCAGCAGAGTGTCATATATTGTAGCTCCACTTCCACGGCATGCAACAATGCCTTCGTTCCGTCCAAATTTACCTCCCATTCCACAGCTTGATCACGTATGCCACTTTCGCTTTTTCTAGAGTTTCTTCGAGATACTTTAGTTTATGCATTGTGCTTTTCTTCCCGAGTTCATCCGCCATACATATTGTTGAATATACTGCAGCCAGCCAAAGCGAGCCACAGTAAGCACTGCACGACAAGCGGCTTTATGTGTGCTCTTTGGTAATAAAACTATTGGCTGACCTCGCTCCCGTCATCGTCCAAGCGTCGTATGTTTGATCGGGGGTTCCCGAATTTTCGATCATTCCATCATGGTTCGGATCCCATTCTTTGAGAGCATTGCGAATGACCACTTCGCTTAACTTGTAGAAGTAGTCAAGAACTTTCCTGGCCTTAATACAAATATAGAGCTTCAACCTAGAGCGCAGCTTGCTTACATCTTCTTTATCGTAGTATTTGTCAACAATAAGCTTGTAATCTCTCCAGCATAGAATAACAAACTTCAAATTGAGATCACGCCAATTCGCTGAGTCATGTACAAGGTATCCGTTGATTTCTGCCCAAGGTTCCTCTTCTGCAATCCTGTGTTTAGAAACGAATAAGAAAGTTACAGTTTCCAAATTCAAGCACGTGAGCAAAGGAACGATTTACAGTCCCCTGTTATGTAACTGTGCGTTATTTGTTTATATTGTGCATAACGTTTAAACCATCTCCAATTGAGGGAGCCACGGAACTTTTCTTGAAAGATTATCTCAGCCGCTGAAGTCGTTAGGCAACGTGGGTCGTTCTCGTAGGGGATACACGGGCAAGGAGAACCAAATGCGACTTCGCACGTGCTGGAAACAAGCAGAGCCGGAGGACGGAACTGCCTCCATTAAAAATTTGCGTCAAAAATCTCGACAGCTGCCGAGGAGGTGGGTTCGTAGTAGCTTTCAAAAAATAAGCACCGCCCGAACTCCATCTTGCGAGTAATTGAATCGTTGAACAAAATAAAAATTGGAAAGCTTTCTTAGAAGAGCTGCTGATAAGGCGGCGGTGGAAACGTGTTTGAAGGGTGATCTAAGCTGCCGAAAACGAGACGTACAGTGATAGTCATCTGTACCTAGCAGCACGGAAGCTCGCATCAGACGCATTTATCTAAGAACTCATGATGCAAGCGAAGAAGATCAAAAAACGTCACCTAGGAGAGACCAGGAGACAAAAGCAGCTGGGTGTTTTTAGGGCTAAAGATCTGTTTAGACAAATAAGCTTTAAAGGAATTGGCTGCCTGGATTCTTTTCAACACGAATTTTGCCGTGAAAGTCTTCGTTCAAACGGCTAGGAGAACGATTTCGACGTTCAGGAATAAGGGTGTGGACCAAACCTACCCTTGTCCCTTCATTGGTATGCCTCAACATCAAGCTCCGACGAGGACGGGCTGTGGCATTTTATAAAGTGTTGAGGGGGATCTACAGAAAAGAGTTGCCTTCTACAAAATCATCGACTTTCAACAGCGGGAAATAGGTGATACACGTGAAAGTAGAGACTCTTAAAGGGAGCTATCGCGCCGAGAGCATTGCTGGTTTTCGGTACAGTTACCGTAGCGCAAAGCTTTTCTCAAATATCGAGAATCTTCCTGGAGCAAAAAGGAGCACTTTCATCCCCCCCCCCCAAAGCGTGCATCTACCGAAAAAACGCGCACTCGTCTTTTTTATTACCTTTATCATATAGACTGGACAGATGCAGTTAACTCAGCTATAGCTCAGCTCCCATTCTGATGTGTCTGCATTAAGCGGTCGAGGCGGTCGGGCAGGAGGCAGCAAAGGCTTGCCGCTTCTG